CAAGTACCTGTACCGGTTTCACCCAGTACAGATAAATATACTTCGTAAAATAGCAGGTGTAGTACTCAAGGATTGTGAGGTAATGAAATGTCAAGGATGCCTCAGACTTTTTCCAGCAAATACTTGCCTTTTACAAAGACAACCCATTTGAATGCAGAGACTCTAAAGGCAACTACAGTGGACCAGATCTGTCAATCATAGGAAAGAGTTGGCATAAACGGTTTCTACAATGTCAACCAAAATTACAATCAACCTATAGTCGAGCTCTGGATAATGACTGTGCTTTAATGTGTTCGCAAAATACTAGTCACGTTATTGGTAATAGGTATGATAGTTGGCTGGTACCCTGCTCTTCCAGAGAGGAGGCGAGAGCTATAAACTAAAGAAGGCTTTGAAGGTATACAGAGAAAACAAAGAAGTAACTGTTCAACCAAGTATATTGAAATAATGTCTGTCGAAGTCTGCCTTTTCCATTGTGGAATCAGAAAGTCTTTAAATACAAAATTCTTCTCATGTCTAGCATGAAGAGAACTAATCAATGGTATCAAATGATACACTTTGGTAAAACCTTTTAAGTATCAAAAACGATACTTAAAACTGAACATAAAACAAAACAAAGTATCAAAAAATACTTAGAACAAAATATAAAACAAAACTAAGTATCAAATAATACTGAAAACAAACTAAGTATTAAAGGGATACTTAAAACAAAACAGAAAACAAAACTAAGTATCAAATGATACTTAAAACAAACCAAGTATCAAAGGGATACTTAAAACAAAACACAAAACAAAACTAATAATCGAGTACCTGAACAGGTTACATGTGCAATGAACTACAATTTAGTTATCCTAAGTGATTTCTTTACCATACTTGATAAAGTAATAAAGGAAGTCAAAATCAAACTATAGAATATCTACAATATAGACGAAAAATGCTTTCTAATGGGGCTTATTCAGTGTTCTTTACATGTAACATGTTCGCAAGGTGCTAATCACGTTAACGATAATAGATACGATAGTTGGCATGTGGCCTGCTCTTCCAGAGAGGAGGCGAGAGCTGAGAACTAAACGAGGCTGCGAGGGTGTACTGAGGAACAAAGAAGTAACCGTTCAACCAAGTATATTGATATACTGTCTGTCGAAGTCTGCCTTTTCTATCGTAGAAACAGGCGGTCTTTAAATACACAAATCTGTTCATGTCTAGCATGAACGAAACTAATCAAAGGTATCAATTGATACTCTTTGGTAAAACTCCTTAAGTATTAAAGCGATACTTAAAACAAAACTTAAAATAAAACCAAGTATCAAACGATACTTAAAACAAACCAAGTATTAAAGCGATACTTAAAACAAAACATAAAACAAAACCAAGTATCAAGCGATACTTAAAACAAACCAAGTATCAAAGCGATACTTAAAACAAAACATAAAACAAAACCAAGTATCAAACAATACTTAACACAAACCAAGTATCAAAGCGATACTTAAAACAAAACATAAAACAAAACCAAGTATCAAACAATACTTAACACAAACCAAGTATCAAAGCGATACTTAAAACAAAACATAAAACAAAACCAATAACCGAGTACCCATACCGGTTACAAAGTAAAACAATTGACTTAATAGTAATAATAAGTATTAAAGGCTTTAGACAATGCATCATCTAAGAGAGTAACTGGAGTTGATAAATAATTATTTATGGAGCTTTTCCAAAGTGCTCAGAAGGAGGTCATGACAATTCGTAATTGTTGGAGTGCATTTCTGGCAACTGGGATTTATCCTTACAACCCCTTACTAGTTTTAAAGACTTTTCCGCTACAAGGAACATATTCAGCCTTGATTTCTGCAAACGAGACCTGAGTAGGGTATGTGGAAGATAATAGCTATATGCAGGAAACTGCAGGTGGTACCCTTGTCCTGGACATCCAAAATCGCCTGAAAGCTATCATACTCGATTCTCCAGAAATACCCTCTAGTCTACAACAATTTTCAACAACACTACATAACACCTCTACTATTCAGTCACATGTGGTTACTATTCTTGATCAGCTGAGTGAGCTTGAGGTTGATGGAGTCTCAATTAATACTCCGCTCTGCAAAAGAGTGCTACAGTTGGGAAAATCAGCCCAGATGTCAATGGCCTATGAAGCTATTCAGCTTAAAACAAATCATCAGTTATGGTAAAAAAATTGGAAAAGGAACACTGGAACAGTAAAATCAGGTTCTGGCCCTAGAGTCCGCTCAGTAATTCCTAATAAAGGGACTCCGGTCCTTACCATCGCTAAAGTCCAAGAGCGGAAACACAAGGCACATGAAAAGATGGTAGCTGAGCTACAAAAGCAGGAACAGCTTGAGCAAAAGCGACAGGACAAAGCATTGCATGAGGCAATGTTGTCTTCTCCAATAGGTTCTGTGTATGAAGCATTGCCTACAGCCGAGAATGGCGAATTTTATGTTTTCCTTGACCTTATGGCTACCTCATGGGTAGAGTGCTTAAAATCAGATTTTTTTTCTTTCATCAAGTACCTTATCTGGTTGGCGTGAGGAGGATTATCATTCTACACCTCACCCAAGACTTCTCAAGGATCACAGGCAGAGGGGGCTAATTGCATCCTCAAAGGCACAAGGTACATGGGAGTGGGATCCAGCAGAGAATAAAATTGATTGTGCATTTCTACATATTTCTTTTCCTTAATTTTGAGTAAATTAAGCCTGTACAGCAGCTCATGGTGAAGCCAGTTCACAATGAGACAAGAACACCTATAACTTAGAACTTTTATTAAACCGGAATCCTTTGTATGGGAATTCTCACTATGTTGTCAGTCTTTGCTCTCACTTCTAGTAATGTGTAATGTGATTCACTACTGGATACTGATTCACTTCCAGGTCTGATTTACTTCTGGGTTCAATATGTTACTCTAGTACAGTATGGTTCTGGAAGACTAAACTTAAAATGGAGTAAAAGTTCATATGATAATTCACGTTACATTTTCAAAGTTTACCCTTTGCCCAATAATTTCTACACAAAGGATATATTATTTATCATATTTAGAAGAAGTCAACTATATTGGATTCATTAAAGATTAAGAAACATGAAGGTCAGACTCTGCTATTCTTCTGTGAGAGGAATATCTAGTGAATACATGCTTTTTAAAATCCTCTGACCTATAGACAAGATCCTGTCCATATGCATTGATCATATGTAATAATCACTGGTAATACTTCCAGATTAATGTATTGGACACTTGTACCAATACCTCTGGAACAATTCGAACCAGGGCAGGAGATGTGTATTTACAATTTGCCCTGGCGTAAACTTCAACCCTTCTCCTATAATACTCTATAAAGTTTAATCCATGTATTCAAGTAGTGGCAATAGTGAGGGGATCAACAAGTGTGATTATAGCTGGCGGAGTTGATTATTTTGGAGTTCAGAAAGAGAGGAGAGGATGCATAATATAGATAAATTGAGGGAAAATGTAAAGAGGGAGGAAATGTGACAAGGTGAATGTAATGGATAACAGGATAGATGATATCATAAAATAATTATATTGTGATAGCTGAGTTATAATTTTATTTTGAAACTATAAGACATAGATTATCACTTTTAACTACAATTCTAGTGGGGTTTAAGGGTATGGGAAGTGTAGGGTTGCAGTTTACTCTGGGCGTTACACTTAGTGTCACCAGCAAAATTGTCACATTTTTTTGTGAGAAACCTAGTACAGAGTTTAGTCTTCCAGAACCATATTTCCGTTGAGTTGTGGTTTTTTTCTCCTGACCTATTGTTAACTTACACCAAGATCGCACTATAACTTAGTTTAACCGCAAGTGCGACCGCACTGTGCGGGGGGGGGAAATTGAGCTTATAAGTTTTGTTGATACCCATACTTGTGTGGCGGTTTTTCTTTTCGCGTATGATATATAAGAATGTTCTTCACGTATTCTCCCGAGAAAGAATGTAACTTATCATGGAAGAGGACCACGGGGAAGACAAGGACGAGAACATCCCTCACGAGAAGAGGGATGACAAACAGTGCAATTATGACGGTAATTGTTTTATCCTGTCCTTTTATTCTCTTTTAAGGGTTGTTCGACGTTACCGTTTTGCGTATCATGATTGTACTGTACAGGCCATGATTCGGCAAACAAAGCCCATAAACCGACCAACCACAGTCCTAAAAAAATAGCCCGCAAAAATAAAGTCTTGGTCCGTGGTCTTCGGTCTCATTCACCATCACTTATCCTTCAGCCTGGCTTCCATCGTCAACATGGTATAACCTCTCTTGTCCTCAACTTTTCCCGAGCCCTTTACAAAGTGCTGGCACGCGTGTGCCGGGGTATAAAGATTGTTTCAAAAGGGCCCTCAGGCACGGAGGTCTGGGGAGCTATATTGGTGAATGCGCTCTTGGATAGAAGTTGAGAGTTGTGTGCATTGCGTATCGTAACGCATAAGATGGCGAAGGGGGGGATTTCATAGTTCGAGTCGGCTTTAGAAGTTTTTATGATGCTACTTAGTCGGTATTAGCACCATGGCGGAGGTGGTTCCGTGCCCTCATAGTGGTGACCTGGGACTGAACGAATGGATATATGGGGCTGGTAAGCGGATGAGGGGCAGTCTCAAGATGGATGGGGACGACTTCATCTCCACCACCCACCCTGAGCTTCACGTGTAGTTCGGGATCTACATAATTCTTTGGTCTTGCGAAAGTGAATATAAGGTAGCGGTGAGCTGCTAGTGCTATTCACAAGTTGATTCCCAGATTTTTGTATGTTCTAATACCAATTGGAAATGTCGCGACTGAATTAAACTCTGAACAACATCATCTTCCTATGGTTCGAGCCCGATTATCTAAATTTCATGTAGGATCTTTGTACTGACTCTTATGCTTAAATGATAGCTGAAAGGAGGTGGTGTAACCGTATATGTGAGAATCATATAGTTGACCTACTACTGGTATCACATTATACAGCTCTAGCATTTATGCACACAGCTTTAGGATTTAGTGATATTGCCTTATTTAATAATATCATAATATTATGATGAGAAGGAAGAAATCATTAGTCATTCTCAACGACAGCACAGCACACGACTCGGTCCATGGTAAGCACTTGAAATCACATGTCGTCCAGCACTCCCGACCAGCCCATAGAAATAAAGTCCAATAAATCGATCCCTCCCCCTTGTCAGAGGTAAACGTGACCGGGGGCCCTTGTTCCATAGTAACAAATAAATAACACTAAACCCCTCCCACGTCTAGACTTCTAACCACCCGTTTCCTAAACGAGTGGGTCTCTAGTGTTCCATAGGGGTTCCCTGGTTCTCCAGATCGGGTTCCCTTTCCTCCTCCTTGGGCTGGAGAGCCTCTTTAACCATGAGGAGCATCATAATCTTTGCTGGTTTCATCAACCAGTCAACCAGCCCTGTATCTTTTTGCGTGCTATCTTTTTGCGTGCTATCCGGCTCTGACTCCAAACCCTCTGCATCATCCTCCGGCTCCGACATTGAACTCTGCTCAACCTCCTCCGGCGCTGCCTTCTTACTCTCGACGGTGTCATTCCCAGTCCACAGCCAGACCGCCGTGTGATGCACAAATCTCACTAAGGGGAGGAAGGCATACCCGGCGAGAATTATCACGTACACAAGCGCCAGCTGCAGAGCCCATATGGGGAACCCGGGAAGCCTCACAAGCTTCTTCAAGGGGCCAGCATTCTCAACCTTCTGCCCTCGGAGCGTGCGGATTATGAAGGTCAGCTCTTGCACGGGAACCACGATGGTGATGTATATCGCCGTGAAGTACCAGTACCACCAGTCGCTCTCGTTGCCGTGAATATCATTGTCGGTGAGCAACGCGCTGCGTTTTTCCGCTTCGTCTAGGCTGCGGGCCCTCTTTTTCCAATAGTTCCAGGCTGGCCGCTTATCTCGGCAGATGGGTTTCTTGCTAGTCTTTTTGCGGTTGGGGACCCCTTTCATTCTATTGCGGATTGAGCGTTGGGCCCACCTTTTCAGGGCTGCAAGGTTGCGGCGGAGGGAGGAAAGATTCATCAGGAGGATTAATGTACCGGAGGCTACGGCGAGCATGATTCTGACGAGGGCTTTTGCGGGATATTTCCAATGGAGTTCTTGTATGGCCACGATACTCTATGGGTACTAGGTCAAAATACTAGCCGTTGGCTTACGAAAGGGGGTAGAGACGCACGGTGGAGAACGTTAAGGGTAAATAAATAGCTGTAACAACAGCAAAAAGATTGATCGTGCGCGCGAGTTGTGTGGAGGTCCTCGCTTCTCGGAGCGCTAGCTCACTCGATAGCTAATATCACCATCAGCATACCTCTTCCCAAGAAACACCATCGATCCATGGAGGGGATGCCTACTGATTCCTTAAGATTCCTAATCCGGTCAATCCGCTCCTGTAAGTTCTTCGACATTTTCTCCAGCTTAGCACAACGCGCCTTAACGTCCGCTCGGTTCTGAACAATCTCTTCCCCAAACTTCCTTTGGTCCTTTTCGGACCACCGAGGTTTATACTTTCGTCTTTCTTCTTCTGATATCCACTGCATCGCAACGGTACTGGTCTCCCGACACTTATCCTGCAAAGCACCATAAACGTCGAGCAGCCAGGGATAGAATACGCTATTCTTGTTCATGGTTTTGAAATAGTTCTCCCCTCTGAGGTCATCTTCCATCAGTAACGGGATGAAAATATTTTGCGATTTCTGCTTCGAACAAACATTTTATCAGCATATGCAAATACCGTTACCACGTTTCTAACTTATGAACCTACATTGCCTTCCCCCATAGACTTAGTAATAGTATTGAGGACATTCTTGGTCTGCGAGAGTACTAGATCGAGAGCCTGGCACACAAGAAACCCCTCTAGGCACTTTCGTTGTCTCAGAGTCTTACAAGAGTCGATGCGTTCCACTCGAGCCCGGGTATCTGTAATGAGTTCCTGTCTTCCAAAGTTGTAAAACACATAGCATGTCCAGAACTGGTCATGAAGGTCGCCAATAAATCGGAACCCCATGGAAGCCTCGACCATGATGCAGTTTGGCGCGGCGTCGTTCATCGTTAGGAACTCAGGCTGTCTCCTCTGAAAATAGTTTGGTAGGAGAGGCGACTCCACGCCTTGCCGAGATGGGGTTGTGATAAAATTGATGTTGAATTCTGTAATCCAGAGATTGTCTGGCATGATTGTCTTCAAAGATGTTAGGCATTGGAAGGGTATTTTGTCAAAGAAGCAAGAGAATTGAAATACCTGCTCTTCAAATCTTATTTCGTGAGAATCCATGAGGGTCAGTCGTAAGAGAAATTGATTTATATGGCAGGCTTCTTGGTAATCCAGGTTAGCCATTAGCGAGATTAGGTGCTCGATCGCGCAGTCCTCCATGATTCTATATTAGACCGTCAGACGCGGAGCTGGTTTTCATATAGGGGGTAAAGGGGTGGCTGTCTGGGTACGAACATTACTCTTTTTCTGGCTTTCTCGTGATCCCTCTGCCATCAAATAGTCAGTAACGCAATATCACTAGTGTGGAGAGGATGTTTCTCATACTTGCTCCTGCAACTTTAACAACGCCTCGCCCCCGTGGGTGCGGTCAGGCTCATTCTTTCCATTTGGTTGAATTAACTCGTTTTTTTATCCCCCCAGCAACAATTCGACTTATCTTTTATACTCTCCAAAAACTTGTTTTTCCCCTCATTAGTTTCCCAAAAGCAGCACCAATTGCCCTCAATATCTCCCCGCTCAAAACTATATCCCGGTTTTAAAAAATCTTCTATAGATTTCCTATTTAGTTCGAACTTCTCCCGCTTGTGCTTCATAAAGAGAGGGTCTCTAAACCAGTACCGCTCGCCATAAGCTGTTCCAATTAGAACAAACACAATATCGCCGGGGGTCTTGAAAACCACTCACAAGGTGGATCATTTACTTGACGGAGGTCCTCAGTGGTCATATACAAGAACACCCCCTTCTTTCCCGATATTTTTTCGTCCTGACGAACACCCGCAATGCTGTTTGCGCCCAGGATTGTACTAGCTTTCACCAGGTCCTCCTGCGAGAGTATAGATCCCTGTGCCCCTTCAGTACGGGTAGGAGGATCTGCAATCCTTTGATTGGAAACGTTAGTTCATGGTTAAAACCCTCCGAATGATTTGACGCAGAGACTGGTGGTCTAGCCTACTTTGGAGTATTGGTATGAGTATAATCCGCGCTGAGAAAGTGCGTAACTATATCCCAATATGGGGTGCAAAGGCCGTGGGAACTAGGGGTAACCATGTCGCTAGCAAAAATCCCAACTGAATAAGCTCTTGCCTCCAAACTCTCCCGCAACTCCTGACGACGCACTTTGTCAAACGCAAGCTGGTAGTGCATAAAAGATGCCCAGGCGTCTGGAGTTTGTGCCTTGGAAGAGTCGCTGAGTGTATCGCAGTATTTGAGTCTCTGTCCAGGCAGATATCGGTTTATTGTTGTCGTCGAAGAAGAAATCGTCGACAAGTGATGGAATGGCAATAGTACAAGCCTGTTTCTCTAGAAAGGGTTCTCTAACATGGCCTCTAATTTTTGAGATAAAGCGGTCAGGGAAAGACCTTTGACCAGTGTTAGTCCCGGGGTGGAGGAAAGCCTTAATCGTCCGATTTCTAATTGCTTTGTCGTCTAAGCTTTGGTGAGCCTTCCATTCGCTCCAGTTTTGGTCGCCGGAAAACAATTCAAGTAGCCTATTCGTAGCCCTAACGGCCCGCCAGACAACTACTTGTATCGTGATATCATAGACATAGATACCTTGTCCACCGTAGCCACAATCTATATTATCCTGCGCCTTTCGGAACCGGGCGTACGGCGGTGATGACCCCCCCAGCGTTTCTAAGTGATCCGGCCATAGCTGAGATTCTGGATGCTTCATCCTCTCGATTGTCTTCCAGAATGGCTTTAGAAAACATTCCACCATTCGAGTGATCAGAGGCTTTTCACGTGGATAGTTGGTCAAACACTTATCCAACAAAATAAATAATCGGCAACAATCATCGAAGGTATCTTCGTACATAAATAGCTCCGGTTCAATGGGCTCCGTTGGTTGAGAGTTGATAGGCTCATTGGTTGGGTCCGCTAAATCTACAGCTCCTGCAGAAACCCCGACTGGTCGCGTAGTGTCCACAACCATACCCTTGGAGGAGCTCTCTGCGGTTCCGGCTAGGGCACCTCTCTCTTCCTCAATTCCCTCCCTCCCCACGACTTCCCCAGCCTTATCCGGCTTCACGGGCGGCGCAGGATCCGCCGGCTGATATGGGGAAACATTCTCAGCGCCGTTTCGTTCGGCGTCTCCAAGCAGGAAAGTAAAGCATCCAAAAATTACGTTCCGAATCCTCTTCTGGTAATCGCTCTTCGTTTCGTCATCCGCAGTATTCTGCTGTTGAAGTACCTTATCAATTTCTAGGAGGTAAAAAGCTTGGTTTCTAGATCTTGTTAGGGCTTTGCAAGCCGACCAATAAGAGGGAGGGACTTTGTTGGCTTACAGAAAACTACGCCATGTCGGATTCATATTGATCAGATAATGATCGAACAGAAAATAGGGTCGATAGGTTTCCCGATCGGGCTTCGGCAATGGGATAGCGTGCGAGAGTATAGTCTCAAGGTTTCGCCTGAAAATAAATGACGAGGGTTTAGTCTTAAAGCACCACCACCGGTCACGTGAGAATTTAAAGTGAGGAGATATATCGTAGTACTGTGGTGGAATATCTGGAACGTTTTCGTGACCCAATTTGAATACCGTGGTAAATTTCACCCTTGATTTCCGTTTCAATATAAATGTCTCACGATGCCTTATTATTGGATGGTCCGACAGAATATTAATATCAAGTTTGGTCATGTCAGTTGGTTTGCCGTCCCGGTGGAGGCTAAACGACTTCGGTTTACCATCTTCGAATAAGGTTGCAATCGCATAATAACTGTCGCGCTGGATCTTCCACTGAGATCCCTCGGCTTCTCCTTCTGGCATTCGCTGCAAAAAATGGTCGGGAGCACCATCCTCCCTACCCCTTGGTTGGGGCGTTTCAGATGATATCCTGATTCCTGTGGTGAACTCAAATTCCAGACTGAGCTCGGTTTCCTCGCTAGATTCTGAAGTCAAGCACATATCTTGAATATTCTCGCCATGTTGGATATAGTGCTGTAGGATGACCCTGACCTTCCCCTCCACGGTGTAGCGTACCTCTGGCCATCTATCATTCCTGTAGTAATGTTCGAGTTTTGAGATGTTGATATTACGTGAGAATCGAAGTCCGAGCCCCTGATTGTCCACGCAAAGTGCATTAAATTTATCGTGTCTTCGTGGATAGGCAGGGATATCGCTATAAAACGAAACACTGGGTTTCCACTCCGGGTTATCCAGCCCCCAGCTCTGGGTTCCACTTTGGGATCTCTGGGCCAGCGGAATATGTTCGAGTCGACAGATATTCCGTGGCTCCACCGAGATGTAAGCCCGGTCTTTAGGGTTACCCCCAGGCACCAATGACCTACTAAGCTGTAGAAACTGGCCCAATTTTTTGAGGGCGGCGTCAGTTCCACCATCAGCAAAATCGAGATATCGAAATGATTCCTCCTTGGTGTCTAGTTTTGAGAGCCCAATGCATTGCCTTGGTTGCTCACCCTGTTGACAGTGTAATTCACCTTTGGTCCGTATGTTATTACCAGAGAGCCTTGAATCAGTCGAAACCAGGTTGGCTTACCTCAAGATATTGATCCTGTAGGAGAATCTATTTCCGCAAGGTTTGAGGGAGGTGATGGTTGTCTGTCGGCGGAGGGTATTCCTGCAATGTTTGTGGGAGGCGATGGTGGTCTGTCCGTGGTGGGTATTTCTGCAAGGTTTGAGGGAGGCGATGGTTGCCGGTCCATGGCGGTCTTTCGCAGAGTAAGGGCCTCCCTGTTTGAGCTTGTCCGGGTGTATGAGATTGTGGTGGAAATACCTATAATATAATATCAATTGTTTTTTACAAATGGGCTTTCTCAGGTTCCCCAGATATCTTCTTATACAGGGTTATCTTGAGGGATTTTCCAGGCGTGTCCAATTGCTCGTGCTTCTGGGGCACACCAAAACCTGTCAACCAACTCGGGTGTCTCAATAAAATGGGAAATACCGAGAGCCCTGTCTTGCGGGGTTGGAGAGTAGAAAAAACTAAATATGGGCGCTCTTAATAGGGGTTGGCGGCGTAAGGACTACCGTAACAACCAAGATAATTGCGCCATGTGCTTTGAGAGCTGTATGGCACTGAAACCTGCAGAAGGCGGAGTTTGTGTCTTGAACCAATGTTTAAGGTAACACAAGTCTACAGCAACTGAGCATGATTTTCGGATACTTCTTGCCTGGGGCGAGTATTCACCACAAAGTGCTCGAGTCTAGGTCGAAACCTTTAGTCCGATACCTGGCTTTAAACATCCAAAAGTAGAACTGTGGGTATAATATCACAGTGGGTCAAGGAAAAAATGACAAACTCAGCGGACATGCTAGAGCACTATACAAACTCTCTATGCAAATCGATGTCTTTTGAAATAATAGTTAGCGAGGAAAGACTCCAAAACACTTTTCATCCCACGCAAGGCAACCCCTAGACATCCGTCACTTCCATTCGATCCTTGATACTATTCCACAGCCGGATGCTTTGGCAAAGATGTGTGCTACCCTTGTCCCTTAGAGTTGTTGCCACTGACATATCTCGAGGTGACAATGTGGGCGCTTGAGCGATGGAGGGGAGGTGGGTCGGACGACAAGAACGCGAGCTATAGAAGACTGTTGCAAAATTGAGGTCTCATGGTAGGGGGGGTAAGTGTCTGGATATATAGCGTGGCTGTTCCCGGGCCTTCGGGTGGCCTCCGCCCGGTTGAGCCGCGCGCTATTCCGTTTTCCTTCCTGGGGCCCGAGGCAATGCCCGAGCTTCTAATTACCATTATCCGTGCTTTGCCCAATTTGTAACGGGTTCCTCCAACGCAGCATAAAATAAAACGAATCAAGCTGGAGTCAGACTCAGAAAACGAGGGGTAATGGTGTTGGGAGTGGCTGCTGTTTGTGGTTTTGTCATATTGCAGCATAAAACTTACCATATTCCTTAGTAGAAGCGCAAGTAACGATCTCGTGAACTCTACTCGTGTGGGGTTATGAATTGCTTTGACTGTTGAGTGGAGGAAGATGTGACGAGCCC